ATGTGTGTAGGTAGATATCTTACCCTTGAGTTTGAGCTCAGGGTGGGAAAGGAGGTATTAAAAAATATTTATTATAACAAGAGAGCACTGGGTCTGTGAGCACTGAAAACCCACTGGTGTGGGTGAGAAGCACCACACGAGGGTGGCGAGGGCAGAGCGAACCCACAGCAGATGAAGCAGGAACAGAGAGGTAGGAGGAAACCAGAAGGACACAGAGCCCAGAAGCAAGGAGAACGTTTCTAGAAGGTGAGTGGCGACAGGGCGAACGCTGCCTGCAGCTAAGACAGGGATTGGACGTATGCATAGCAGGCTCGCGTGTGCCCCGGGTGGAGCTGGGGTTGCGGGGAGGGAGTGAAGCCAAGCTGCCAGCTAGATCCGAGCTTTTGGGGTTTTCTTGCCAGGAGGGAAAACATGACCCGGGGAAAGGGTTGAGGACAAGGGCTGAAGAGGTGACCTGGGAACCACCTGGAGATGGATGACGTGAAAGCAGGCAGGGCTCAGAGAAGGAGAAGAGGGAGGTCAGAGGACTCGCTGCCTGGAGTGACCAAGGGAGAGTCGGGAGGGTCAGGGCCCGTGGTCAGAGCGAAACCTTGGAAACGGTGACTTCTGAGGCAGAGCTGTCCTGGATAACGACAAGCCCCGGGGTGTGGCTGCGGGAGGCTCTGGCTGACTGGACGCGGAGATGAGGCAGGTTCCGGCCAGACTGCTGCACCAGCCAAGCCCCCAAACCCCACCCCCGACTGGAACGTGAGTCCCACGAGGGTGGGGACCTGGCCTGCTGAATCATCGTGCTGGGTCACATCCAGAGATGAACAAACATCTGCTGAGTGAGCGAATGTGTGGGAGGATGTGGGGTGCAGAAGAGAGTGAGCCCCAGGGTCAAAGACTCCAGTGAGGGAGGGGATGTGAGCGGGGCCTTCCCAGGTGACAGCTGGCTAGAAAGCATGATCCTCACTCAGGAAGAGCCCCTCCCTGGGGGGCAGCAAGGATGGCCGGCAGAGAGGAGGTCACGGGTCCCCCCACCCCTGACGTGGGGACTCAGCCAGATTTGTCACGACTGGTCTCCTCAGTGCCCTCTCAGCCCCCTCCTCACACATCTGGCTCTTTCCCACCTGTCTGGAATGCTCCTCCCTCTCCTTGACACGGACGACTCCATTTTTGCCTTTAGGACTCAGCCAGATTCACCTCCTCGGGGAGCCTTCTTTGACCACCCCATTCTCTACCGCTCTCTGTCACTGGTTTGGTTCCTCAGTAGCACATTTTATGTGCATCTGTTGACAATTTTTTTTTGTTTTAAAGACAGAGTCTCGCTCTGTCACCCAGGCTGGAGTGCAGTGGTGTCATCATAGCTCACCATAACCTTGAACTCCTGGGCTCAAATGCTCCTCCTGCCTCAGTGTCCTGGGTAGCTGGGACTACAGGGATGTGCCTCCATGCCCAGCTAATTTTTAAAATTTTTTTTGTAGAAACAAGGTCTTGCTATGCTGCCCAGGCTGATCTCGAACTCCTGGCCTCAAGCGATCCTCCCACCTCAGCCTCCCAAAGAGCTGGGATGACAGGCGTGAGCCACTGCACCCCGCCTTATAGTGACAATATGAACACATCCCACCTGGGGTGCGTGGTAGGCAGAATGAGCCCCCTCCCACAGCCACCACCAAAGATGTCTCCATCCTAATCACTACAATACATGAAAATGTGACCTTACGTGGTAAAAGGGACTTTGTGGGTATGATTAAGTTAAGTATTTTAAGATGGGGAGTGCCCTGGATTATGCAGATGGGCCCAAAGGAATCACAAGGGTCCTTACGAGTGGAAGAAGGAAGTCAGAGTTAGAAAGAGAGATCTGAAGATGTTCCACTGCCGGCTTTAAAGCTGGAGGAAGGGGCCATGAGCCAAGGATTGCAGACAGTTTCTAGAAGCTGGAAAAGGCAAGGAAATGGATTCTCCCCTTGAGCCTCCAGAATGAACCAGCCCTGCCAACAACCTGATTTTAGCCCAGTGAGGTCTATTTCCAACTTCTGACCTCCAGATCTGTAAGAGAATAAATCTGTGCTGTTTCAAGCCACCACACTTCTGGTAAGTTTTTGCAGCAGCAATAGGAAACTAAAAGAATACAGGGGCAATCACTTGAAATGATTAAAATCCAGAAACATTTAAAAAATCATCAAGACTCAGAAATTTCAAAGCCAATGGACCAAGTGGATTGCCAATGATTGCCATAGGACAGTTAGTTCTGCTTAGTTGGGAGAGAGAAAAACCTGCCACCCATCAAGGTTGGTTTTGAATTGATCAAGTTCCAGATGAGACAGTATCTTTGGGACATACTCTTTGAGTAAAATAGATGCCCAGTGTCTATTTATCTGTTTACTTGTGTATTCTTGGTTTTTCTGCCTCTCGAGGGCAGAGATGGGGCTGATTCTTCACCTGAGCGCCTGGTACCTGGAAGGGCTCAAAGCCATCTGTGGGATGACTGCGGACGCGTGAGCTCCGACAGGGCGGAGGCGAGGAAGATGCGTTCCTCACGGAAGCCAGATGCCTGGATTGCCCTGGAGGGCTCCCAACGGCATCGGGAGCTGGGCTGGGCCCAGGCAGTGCTGAGGCGCAGAGAGCGGGATTCTGGCCTGGCCCTGCCTCCAGCACCCACTCCCCCTCCCTGGGTCTCAGTCTTATCCATAAAAGAGGGAGGATACTCCCTGTTCTAAGCATTCTCCTTATGAGGAAAAGGAGGTGAGAAGAGTTGAGGAACTGCAACCAAGCCCAGCTGCTATTAAAAAGACCAGGGTCGGCCAGGTGCGGTGGCTCACGCCTGTAATCCTAGCTCTCTGGGAGGCCGAGGTAGGCGGATTGTTTGAGCTCAAGAGTTCGAAACCAGCCTGAGCAAGAGCGAGACCCCGTCTCTACTAAAAATAGAAAGGAATTAATTGGACAACTAAAAATATATAGAAAAAATTAGCCGGGCATGGTGGCGCATGCCTGTAGTCCCAGCTACTCGGGAGGCTGAGGCAGGAGGATCACTTGATCCCAGGAGTTTGAGGTTGCTGTGAGCTAGGCTGACGCCACGGCACTCACTCTAGCCCGGGCAAAAGAGTGAGACTCTGTCTCAAAAAAAAAAAAAAAAAAGACCAGGGTCGCAAACACAGGTGCTTAAGGAGGCCAGGCCAGCAGGTGGCTGAAGCGGGCAGCGGGGACGGGGACAGTGGCAGATGGGAGCAGACCTTGACACCTGGCAGGAATGCCAGCCGAGCACTGCCAGATCTCCCAGATTATCAAGGAGAGCAAGGAATCTGGATTTGTGAGAGCGCATTTGCCCAAACTGTTGGCATCTAATTCCTAATTTCTTTTAAAACCATGGGCAACTTGTTGTGTCTGCTCTCTGATGCATAATCACTTCTTGGGGCTTGTGTCAGGGGCACAGAAGTTCTGCCCAAGACACTGGGTGCCTATGGGGCTTTGAGGGAGCATCTGGACACAGAAGGCTGTCCCGGCTCAGAGACAACCAGGGCAACGTCCGAGACAGTGACAGCAACACCAGTCCTGTTATGACCGTGCCCCTGGTGCCAGCACAAGGCTGTCCAGCTCACAGAGCACTCTTCCATAACAGCCTCACAGAATCGGTACAAGCCTGAGACGTGGGCATCTTTAAGGAGACTGAGGCACGGAGGGGGGATGTGGCCCAGCCAGGGTCACACAGCTAGTGAGTGGCGGAGCTGGGGCTCAGCCCTCCCCACCCCACGCTCTGTCACACAGCTCCTGGTGGGGAATGGGGAATCCGCCCAGGAGACTGCAGCAGCCCCCCAACCCTGTCCATCCTCAGATCGGCCCCTCCCCAGCCCGCAGGGGCAGATAGAAAGCTTCTCACCAGACTCCGCTGACGCAGCGCGTGGACAGTGCCCGGGGCATGATCTCTGAGCCCTGCTGCATGAAGCCCCCCACGGGAAACCAGAGGCTGTTGCCCAGTGTGTACTGATTCTCCAGGATGTGGGGGCGCGCCCGCAGGCACGGGTGCGGGTTATACCACTCGTAGGGACTCAGCCTGTGGAGAGACGTGGGGCGGGCGGAAGGGGCCGAGGTGGGGAGGAAAAGGAGAGAAACAGAGGAAGGAGACAGAGTGTCTGTGATCACGAGAGAAGGGGGAGAGGTGGGAAAAGGAGACAGATACACACAGAAAAGAGGTAGAAAGAGAAACAGAGACATGCACACACACACACACACACACACACAAGCAGACACACAGAAGACAGCGGAGGCAAAAGAGAGAGAGAGAGAGAAAGAACAGGAAGGGGAGAGCCCGATACAGAGCCGCAAGGGGAAAGAATGAGACCCAGACACGGCAAAAAAGGAGAAAGCGGGGTACAGGGGATCCAAGCCCCCAAAGTGGAGGCCGAGGATGGTCCACACAGGAGTCAGAACGTGCAGGTCGGCCACAGGGGCCCCGGGTCCTCCCGGCCCTCCTCCCCAGGCAGCAGGCAGTGGACTCACCTGGCGGCCAGAAATAGGACGCAGCTGACAGCCAGGTAGGCGAGAAGCATAAAGAGCCACACAGCAGGGGAGAAGGGGTCCAGGAAGGAGAAGTAGCCAGGCTTGCGGCCCTGGGGGGAGAGGAAGTGAGACCCAGAGCCACCCCTGACCCAAGCCACATGCCCAGCCCCTGCCGCCGCCGGAGACCCAGCAGCCAAGCGGCCTAGCCCAGGTCCAGTGGGCATCGGCTCCCTCTTGCAGCCCCCGGCCCTAGCTCTCTGCCAGGAAGCAGCCCACGATCTCCAGGGGCCCATACCATGTGCACTCGGTAGAGGATGCTGATCCCCAGGGTCATGAAGGGTTTGGAAAAGTCGATGACCTTCTCCCGCTCTGCTGTGATGGTGAACGCTGCCACAGCCAGGTCTGCCTTCTGCTGGAGGGAAGCAGGGCGGGGCGGAGGGGGCAGAGGGGAGGACAGACACGGGCGGTTAGAGAGAAATGCCCCGAGCGCCCGCAACTGAGCATGAGGGAGGAAGAGAGAGGTAGACAACGGAGGGGGCAGGAGCCCACCTCGGCCTGAAACCAGACCCTCATCACCTCACGGCCACTGTTAAGAGTCTCCTCTGGCCTCTTCCCACCCAGCCCTCCACGCCCTCCCATGCCCTCCCCTGTGGAGTCCTCCTGAAGGCCTGCTTTGCAAAACCCCGCCACCCCCCACCTCCCCCCACCTCCCCTGGGCATCAGGCAGACAGCTTGAGACAAGAGTCCGGACACCTAGACGCCCACCCACTCCGGGACCCTCTTTGGGCCTTGGTTTCACCTCTTCTGTCTTAATGGCAAATAGGTGACACTTATTAAGTGTTAACCGTGTGCCAGGCTCCACACTGGGTAGCACTGTACATAGATTACCCTGTATACGCCTCCCAACAGCCCCTGGGGGCCCCTACCGGCCCCATTTGACAGATGGGGAAACTAAGTCTCAGAGAGGCAAAGCACTGGTGAGTAAAGGCAGGAGCTGGGGACCGCAAGGCAGGGATGTGACAGCAACTCTCCTGGTGACCTACATGTGTGCATGGAGGTGTCCCCGAGACACCTGGTTCTCCAGGGCCCAGTGCAACTGGGATAACGACCTCTGCAAGGCTGCCTCCTGATGCCCCCAAAATCCCTGATCCAAAACGCCCGTCGCACTCCGGCCCAAGGGGACAGCAGCCAGCCTTTAGCTGAGGACTGGACACAAGGCTGCGAAAACACCTGGCGTTTCACACGCCCTCCTGCGCACACGCAGACACACACGCGCACACGTGAGCGCTGTGCCCTCCCATCCGCAACGTCGCTGATGGGTCTCAACATGCCACACGCACACGTGCCGAGACTCATGCTGACCCAGTGACGCGGCTAACGCAGGCCGACAGCACAGATGCACGGGGCATTCCCCAGAGGCACACAGCACACACCAGCACGCACACGTGGCACTCACACGCACACATACATGACAGAGCAGGTGGGGCAGGATGCCCCAGCGTGTTGGGTGACCTTGGACAGGAGCTTTCGCATCTCTGGGCCTCAGCTTGCTCATCTGAAAACGAGTGGGTTGGGCCGGAGGTCGCCCACAGCTCTTTGCATCCTGGGGTGGGGACCCGGCTCCCAGGATGCCCCCTTCCGGGCACACAGACTCCATCCTTCAGGCCTCAATTGGGCCCCAGCACCAGGGGCTGGAGGTGGAAGGGCCCCCAAACCCCAATCCAAGCAGAGACCTCCCGCGGGGCTGTAATAAGAGAGCTGAGGCTGAGAGCACGTGAGGCAACACAGGCCCGGACAGGACACAGGGCAGGGGGAGAGGACACAGGCCCCAGAAACGACCTGGGATGGAGGGCGGGGTGCAGGTCGGAGTATGTCCCCAGCCAGTGGAGACATGAACTGGGCCCTAACCCGATCCACAGTCAGGCGAGAGGGCACAAAACTTACCCCAGAGTCAGGAACAGACGGCACAGGACCCTAACACAAGGTCAGCAAGAGATGACACGGGCCCAAAAGGTAACCACAAGGTAGAGGGAGGTGGCACAGGCTACACACAAAACCCGCGGTCAAAGGGAGAACAGATGGGCCCCAAATGAAATCAAGGGTCAGGGAGAGAAGAGACAGATCCCAAAGACAACTCCTCAGTGTCAGGAAAAGGAGGGGACAGACCTCGCAGATGAGCCGCAAGTGGAGAGAGACGGCACAGGTCAAACGACCAGCGCAGGGTGAGTGAGAGACGGCACCGCCCCAAAGCACGACCCACAGGTGACAATGTGTGGCTGGGGCCTAAACACGGCTGGATGCTGAGAATATCTTTGGGAATTCCTGGGTGTTGAGAGTTAGTTTTTATCCCCCTTCTTGCACACTTGCCACTTTTATGACTACTACGTGAGTGGCCGTGGAATAGTCACAGCTAATGCGGGACCCCTGTGACTTCACGCGCCCACGGAGGTTCATGCACCCACGAGTCCCGTTTCTGAGAGAAGGAAGCAGTGGCCTTTCAGATGGGCTCAGGGGGCCCCTGGCGGTCCCTGGGCAAGGTGCTCAGGACCCACTCTCTCCTGGAGGCCTGCAGGGCTCCTGTTCCTCTCTGTGCCTTGCCCTGCTGGCTCAGTAGTCCCCTCACCCACTGCTGGGGCCAAGCCTCTGCCCAGACACCTGGGCCAGGGCCTGCTGTTTCCCCAGTAGCCAGGGCAGCAGCTCTGTCCCGAAACACTCCTTGGATCTGTCCCTTTCTCCCCACCCCACCACCTGGCCCCAGGCCACCAGCATCTCTCTCCTGACAATCTCGTTTGCCTCCTCAGTGGCCCCTGCCACCACTCATAACCCCCAATCCATTCCCCACATATAAGCCAAAGGGATAGTCCCCTGTTTAAAACCCATCATGGCTGCCCCCAGCACCTGAGACAAACCCTTTCACGGCCAGGAGCCCCTAGTGAAGGGAAGCCCACCTGCCTCGCCACCCTTCCCTCGTGCCCTTCCCTCTGCCCCTCTGCCCTAGCCATGGTGGCCTGCTTCCTGCTCTTCCACACAGCGGGCTCACACCCCACCTCAGGACCTTTGCACATGCTCTTCCCCCAGCTCTCTCACCATTCCAGGCCTGGATCATACCTCCCCCTTCAGCCCTCCCCAAAACAGCCTCCAGATCCCACCTCGCTCCAGCCCAGGGTCCTCTCTCTCACATTCCTCATTACCCTGTTTGACATCCTCCTTAGCATGACTGGAGGCGATCGTGCTTGTTTGCACAGTAACGGGCTGTCTTTCCTACTGCACCACAAACGCCTTGCCTGTCTGGTTCGGTGGGCATCCCAGAGCCTACCCAGAGTAGGTTCCCAACAAATACTGCTCAGGTTGACCAAGTCCAGCCTCTCCGAATGGCATCCAAGACTGCCGACGGCTTCCCCACCGAGCTCCTGGGCCACTTGCCACCCCTCTCTCTCTCGTGCCAGCTGCTTTCTGGCCACAGACCTTTGAGCACGCCACATTCTTTGCCCAAAGCGCTCCCAGTGCCCTGCAGAGCTGGAGCCCGCCCATCCCTCCAGCGCACCCTCGTGCCTTCCCTCCTCCGGGACACCTTCCACAGACCCCTCCCGCCCTGGACACCACTTGATTTCAACACATAGCTCGGCTGGGAAAATATCTGTTGGTTTCTCAAGGGCAGGGCCAGCTGGACACGTCCTATGTCTCTGGCACTGCTCAGGGGCCGGCTCAGAGCAGGATCTGCTGCATCTCACATTCCGTCCTCTGCTGAAAGCCCGGGAATGTCGCCGCTTCCTCTGGGGCCCTCCCAGATGCAGAGACCTGTTCTCCGGCCCTGCAGTGGAACCTCACACAAGTCAGACACTTCCCCACACACAGCTCTTGCCCCATGTGGCCACTGTTCCGGGTTTTCCCCAGAGCAACCTCACGTGGAGGGCCCCATTCCCACCATTGACAAAGAAATGGAGGCACAGACAGTACCTTGCTCTAGCTGACCTGGGGATTCAGACCCACTTGGCTTTATCTGCCCGCTGCCCGTGTCTCCCCACGGCGGGGGCGCCCGAGGTCAGGTCTAGGTCTGTGACTCCTCCCTGGGTCCCAGGGGTTAGGCAATGAGCACTGACTGCCCAGAGGAGTGAGCCAGTCCCTGAACCTTTGACGAGCGTGCAGCAGGCTCAGCCTCCGCCCTCTGCCCTCCCAGTTTCCCCAGCACCATCCCAGGCAGAAGCCTGGGGGTCCTGCCCACGCCCGTCTCTCTCACTTCTCACTGCATCCATCCTCCAGCCCCTCCATTCTGCTCCCCAAATACCTCTGGGATTGAGGTGCTCCTCTCTGCCTCCACTGCCTGCCCCTGCCCAGCCCACTCGTCTGGCTGGAAAGGGGGTCTCTGCCTCCTAGGCCTCTCAGTCAGCAGCCCACGAGATCCTAATGTACTACAGTCTGGTCACACCACTCCCCGGCTTAAATTCTGTAATGATTCTCCTTGTTCTTAAACTGTCATCCAAACTCCTCACCTGGCCCCACGAGGCCCTGCCCCACACCTGGCCCCATGAAGTCCTGCCCCATCTGGCTCCAAAAACCTCATCTGTTCCCCCACCCCCCTGCCTTGCCCTCTATCCCCACGTGGCAGCCACTCTGCCCTTTCCGTTTGTTCATTCATTCATTTATTCACCTGCTTGACAAATATTTGCCAAGCACCTCCACTGGCCAAGCACGAGTCTAGCTCTGGGAACACAGCAGTGAATAAAACATACGATGTCAGGTGGTGACAAGGGCTATGATGGAAAATAAAGCAGGCAACAAGATGGAGGCTGGGGGAGGACACTGCCTCGGATACACTCCCCGCTGTGGGGAGCTCTTCTTTGAGTACGAACATGAAGGAAGTACGGGTCGAGGCAGGAGAAGACCTGGGGTGAAGGTTCCAGGCTGAGGGACCAGCAGGTTCAGCCCCTTGGAGGGAAGTGGCTTGCAGGGTCCAGGAGGCTGGAGCAGAATGGGAGGGGCAGGAAATGCCCCAGGGCAGGGACCAGAGCCCAGGGGGGACCAGAGGCAACGGAAGACATAGCATTTGAGGGTACTAGCAGGGGGATGACGTGACTTGGCCGCCATGGCCACGTGAGAACAGACCACGTGGACAGGGGTACCGGAGAGCCTAATGAAGATGCCCGTGGAGACGCTGGAGGCAGAAATGCGTGGCGGCTGTGGTAGCGGAGAGAGGCGGACAGATCTGGGTTTCATTCTGAAGACAGGACAGAAGCCTTAAACACTGCAAGCCTTCTCAGAGCCTTTATTTTTTATTTTTTTTCCTTTTTAA